TATATATATATATATATATATATATATATAAACACACACATATATATATACACAATTCTGTTTATTTATATAGCGCCAATTCACAACATGTCATCTCAAGGCACTTTAGTTTACCAGATCATCCAGTCAAATTGTTTCAAAGTTTTCTATCTAAGGAAAACCAGTTGATTGACTCGAAGGCAATCCCTCACAATAAGCATGCTTGTAGCGACAGTGGAGAGGAAAAATTCCCTTTTAACAGGAAGAAACCTCCAGCAGAATCAGGTTCAGTGTGAGCGCCCATCTGCCGAGGCCGACTGGGGTTCAAGGAGACAGAAGCAGACATACAGAAAGCAGCTGTAAAAGGCGACCCCATCCAGGAAACACGCAGCCATCCAGACGAGCTCTGAGCCAGCTCCCATGTCAGAGGATGAAGAGACCATATCCAGCCAGTCATGGTCAGAGAAACAGGAGTGCACTGAATAACAGGCCAATCTCCAACATCTATAAACAAAGGTGTTGATGGCAGCAGCACAGCTGATATTTCTCTCTGTGGTGTGTATGTGTGTATATATGTATATAATGAAATATTGTGACCTTGTAATATCATTTGGAAGAAGGAATTACTTTTTTTTTTCCAGACACGTTAATTAAATTGCCCCAAACATAATTACCAAAAGGTTTTTGTATTTTTTTTTTTCTTTTTGACTTTTTTTTTTTTAACACTCTGAACTTTTTTTTCAGACAGGTTGTGCTAAAACCCAGTTAAATGAAAGCAGTTTTCTGTCGGTGGGAGTATAAAGCTTGTTTCTTCTCCCTCCCTCTACCTCTCCCTCTCTCTCCAGGCGCTGCTGATGCGCTCCATGTCTCCAGAGCTCCCAGCAAAGGGTGGACATCAGCGGGCTCTGAGAGGTGAGAACCAGGGGTGGAGGGGCTCAGAGGGAGGGGGGGGAATAAAGACCGATGTGTGCTTGAGTGAGGAAGATTGGCAGGAGAAAATAATAATAAAAAAAACCAAGTGGTGCGATGTTGACAGAGATGCGCTCGGTAGGAAACAGCGGGATGTTGGAGGATTTCTGCGCTGTGATGTTGATCATCGTGGCTTTATTTAACTTCAACTGCTCAGTTCAGTCACCGTGGATGATTCTGAGATGTTTTGATCAATTTCTCTACAAATGTGAAGAGTTGTTTTGTGTGGATATGTTTGTCTGAGCGGATGGATGAGGCTTCTGGCTGCGGTGCCTTCAGGGATCTAACATAAAAATATGTTTATTTATTTTTAATGGCACATGGTAGTTAAATGCATTACATTTAGTAATAGTTGGTTGTTTTAAATAGTTTGATCTGAGGTTAGTTTTTCTGGACAAAAATTAGATTTATTGTCATACAGGAATCTTTGTTCTAATATAACCATCATACATCCCTGAAAGCACTGACTTGTTTTTTAATTTTAACCTGCAATGTGAGGGCAGTGTTTTGTAAATGATCCTATTGTGGGGAATTGCATCTACATATGGGGACATTCAATTGGTCCCCATATGGTAAAGTTCTATTCTTTGAGTTGGGCTTAAGTTTAGGACTAAGGTGTATTCAGTTTAGGTTAGGTAGGCTGTATGTTGGTAATGGTTAGGTTTGGGGTATGGGTCTGGGTTAAGTTGTATACAATGAAAGTAAGTCAATGAAATGTCCCCATGTGGGGACTGGGTGCTCTAGTGGGGACCAATGTCTGGTCCCCATGGGTACAAATGCTGTTTCAGGCTTTGGTGTTTAGGAGTAAGGTGTGAATTGAGTTGAGGCTGCTGGTTTAGGGATTGGTGGGATTATGAACCCATAATGGTTAGATAAGAGTCATGGTTGCTGAAATGGGTTAGAAATAATTGGAAGTCAATGGAAAGTCCCCAAAAGGATAGAGGGATATATATGTGTGTTGTTGTTGTTAATAAATTATGAAAGTACTCATTTTATTACAGCAGCAAAGCATTTGTAAGTGTTCTGTTTGGTGACTGGGGTGCCATTTCACAGAGTTGTCAGAGTGCTTTAATAGCATTTCTCCTTTCTTCTCTTTGTGTCTTTTTGTATTTTTTATTTAATTTGATCTTATAAGGGTAGATTTGAATATATTAAATGTCCTCAGGTCTGCCCCCTCCATTTCTCTACATTAGGCTGTTCTTTGGCCCTCCTCACCTTACGATCCCTCCGCTGCTTCATCCTTCTTCATTTGCTCAGTTGTTTTATTCTTTCCATTCATTCTTCCCTCTAACTGCCTCTCTCAAGGATACTGTTATTTGTTTTTTGTTTTTTTTGTCTTGTCTTTTTCTTCTAATGATGTAAATTAGTTAAGAACTATTCATTGATCTGGAAAAAAAGTAACAGTATGGCAGGTTGTTGATGCATATAATTAGCCTTACCGCTCTTTCATTTAAAAAATCTGAAGTTGATTGACGAGACCTCTTGGTTACAGTTACATCTGTCTGATTTTTACCATGGACTGTATGAATGCTTCAAGATATCTAAGATAAATTAATGACGATCTTGAATTTATTTCATAGATGAATAAATCATGACTAGCCATGAACTAGATTTTAGATCTTCAGAGTAGCATGGAATTCAGCCACCAAGAAGGAGTCATTGAAGATAAGCAATTTTTGACAAAATAGAATACAAAAAAAGCAGAAGTTCGGGGACGGGATTTTCAATCATGCATCTACATTTTAGATTAAATGTATTATTAATTATTGAATAATAACAGTAGATTTCCATCTTATAATATTAGAATTCCACTTTGTCATTACACTGTCCGAAGTACAAAGCAAGGAAATGTGGTTTGCTTCTATCCTGGGAGTGCTATACAGGATATAAATATACAGGACTTTGGTTTTACTCCTGTAAATTGTATAAAACAACTTTTTTTTTCTCCCCCATACTGAGTCCACACAAGATTTTTATTTATTTATTTATTTTTTTTGTAAAACTAGAAATATTATAGACAGGTCTTCATGTTTCCTTTGTATGCCAGTGGGTGCCATTTTTGTCCAGTCTCTTTCTTATTTAATAAAACTCTGGCTTAATCTGAAAAACATCAAATCCATACAGACTCTTTAGCCAAAGCAGGAGTACGTCAGCGGTAGCTGTTAAGCACTCTCTGAATAGTGCTGGCCTGGCAGTAAGTAGGGAGTAAGAGAAAGTCTGCTTCCCATCCTGGTCTTTTAGCATAGAGACCAGCTCACGGAAATCTGCAAAAATACATTGACTCCTGTTTGCTCTGTGTGACACATCGACGTTAAAACTTTCATATGTTCCCGTTTGTGTAATGGAGAGCTTCAGCTATTCGCTAAATTTATCTAACTTGTTTTTTTTATTGCGCTTTCATATGTGAAACAAAATGAGACGTATATTCAGTGGTTTTCAAAGCGTCTGCAGTCTGAACCGTCATTATACATTTTATCCCACTTTAACGTCACGTCTCCGGCTCCCACTAAACATCTATAGACCTCTCTGCTGCCGCATCACCACTCTCTGCTCCGTTAGAGGCTCTTATCTTAATACTTATGCACTGTTTTTTTTTTTTTTTTTTAATCTTATGGCATCCTTCAACTTATGATGTGGTCATGATACTGTTGGCTCCCATTACTCCAGCATCAACAGTAGTTTATCTTGTTTCCAGTGAAGCTTTATTGAACCCTCTACATCCATTATTATGGGTGACGTCAATGTTTCCCGTCTGCACTTGAGGTTCTCTTTTGTGTCCTGAGCTGGCAGTTCCGTTTAATCAGTAGTATGAATGGCCACATAAAAAAAATTTATTTCAACAAAAATATTCCAATCAGAGGCAACCTCCAGGATGTTGCATTAATGGGAACAAAATGTGATTCTACCATGTTTTGACTGAGGGAATAGAAATAAAACACCACACTTAAGATTTGCTCAAAATTGAAAACCAGAGCAATTATTTTCATTTTACAGTTCTTCTAATCCAAATTAGATTTTTTGTTCCTCATATTTGAAATGATCAAGCAATAAAGCTGAGCATATTACCTAACACTAATATAGCAGCAATGTGATTGGGAGGTAATAACGAGGTAGTTACCAATTAGTTACTATTTTCATTTAGTGCAGGCAAGCAAATTTTCAAATTTCCATCAAAAATGGAAATCATTTTCTCTGAATTGAATGTTTTTAAAATTGTCAGCTTACTTATTGCATATCATTATGTGAAATATGCAAACTAAAATATACCATTTGCTAGAACAATCCATTAAAAGCACTAATTTAGCCAAAAATGTTGCCCCCCCTCCCACATAAAATTCCAAAACAAAAAATTAAATATAAAGAAAACAAATTCCACTCTTAATATCAATGCAAAACTCCTCAACTGGTATCCATATTCTGCTTCTCTAACTATGCTGTTTTTGTCTAAGCCTTTAGTTTAGATTGTCTTTATATGCTTTCAGTTTTGCCATACTCTCTCCATGCACCACTGGAAAACATTTCATCCCCACAATGTTGACGCATTATTGCAAGATCTTTGTGTGTTACATGCAGTATAATACTGCATGTAACTCAGAACTGATTAAAATTAGGAATCTGTTTATTCTTAGATTGGTTGCATTATAACAGCAAATTTCAGCTATTTAAATGGTAAGTAGCTTGTACTTCTATAGCACTTTTTCACTCTCCCAATGATGATGGTACATTGTAGCAACAGCTGCCCTTGGGCTCACTGAGAGAAGTGAGGCTGCCGTACACTGCCGTACCCCCTGACCCACATCAGTAGACAATGCAGTTGAAGTGTCTTGCCCAAGAGAACTGATACCAGACCCAGGGCTTGAACCAACAACCCTCTGATTGCAGGGCAAACTCCTTCAGCTGGCACCGTTGCCCATAGGAAGTTTTAAAATAGCCTAAACCTGGTGTAACAAAAGTCAACCAGCAGAGCAGAGTTCTGCAACAGTGCAAAATGGTGTTCTAGTGTTCGGTGTTTAAATATTGTGACCTGATTACTAACTGGCCTTTATTGATCTCACATTGGAGAAATTTACCCCTGCATTTAAATTAATCCCCTTGGGGAGCAGTGGGCTGTCATTGTCAGAGTGGGGTTAAGGGTCTTGCTCAGGGACCCAGAGTGGCAGGCTGTGGGAGTTGAACTCAAAACCTCCAGGACCCAAGCACAATGCTCTAACCACTAGGCCACCACTACCTCTGCAAAATGCTTGTGTGTGTGTGTGTGTGTGTGTGTGTGTGTATGTATGTATAAATGTGTGTATGTATATGTCTATTTTACAGTTAATGATTGATTACTAAATTAACAATTATTTCAGTAATGGAATAATCAGATTAATTGCTTCAGCCCTATAATGTACTAAACCGTTTAACTCCGAATGCAGATTTACTGTACATATATTTTTTGTAATTAAATTGAGCTTATTTGGAAAAATCAAACACTTGTAATTTAAGCAAAACTCTTTGAGAATTACTTTGGCCCTAAGAATGAAATAAGATTAGTAACAAGGGAATTCATTCAGATTGAGTCTGTTTTCTAACAAAATGTTATATAATTCTACTTCTGCTGTCCTTGGTTTGTTCTTTTAATGATGCAAAATTATTATGAGCTGTGTTTGGCAGGATTCTTGTGTTTGGCCACTTTAATGACAAACTTCATGGCATTTTGTTTGCAATCTTACTAGTTAATGACCTGATGACTGGCTCACTGTGTTATCAGGATGCTTTTCTGGATCATTAAAAATGACTAGTTTATAATTTAGGAAATATTAAATATAATTCTAAAAACTGGAGTTGAACAGTTTATGTTTAAGAAACTTGTAGATGTGATGGGTCATTATAGACTGCCAACATGCTTTTACAAGAGATTAAGAGATTTCATTTCCCTTTGGGATCAATTAAGTATTTTTTTA